TTAACACACGAATTAAATTTTATTCTATTCTGTGCAATGCATTTTATTATTTGCGATCAGGCATTATGACATGAGGCATTATGCAATTTGAGCCAGTAAATTTCCTAATTAGAAATGTCTATTGTGTCCATTGACAATTAGTCTAAAGCAATTATGGAATTCTAAATTAAAGTAATAATGAAACTCCGAACTGAAGCAATTATGAAAATCCAAACTGAAGCAATTATTGAATTCTAAACTAATGCAACTATGGAATTATAAATTAAAGCAACAATGGAATTCCAAACTAAAGCAATCATAAATTTCTAAACCTGAGCAATTATGAAATTCTAAACTTGAACAATTATTAAATTCTAAACATAAGCAATTATGAAATTCTAAACTTAAGCAATTACGAAATTCAAAACCTAAGCAATTCTGAAATTCTTAATCTAAGCAATTATGAAATTCTTAATCTAAGCAATTATGAAATTCTTAACCTGAGCAACCATGAAATTGTAACTAAATCAATTTCGGAACTCTAAACAAAGAATTGCATAAATTTACTACAAAAAATACTGGACCTACAAACTTAAAATAAAAATCATTTTTTTTTTTCGAAAATCATATTTTAATGAAGAAAAACGGAAAGAGCAGCGTCATTGCATTAGATTTCGACGTCGCAGAAAACCTACGTTAAAACACAACAAATTTTGCTCAAAATGCGAAGTTCTCGATCTGAATTTAGGGCCATATGACGCCATTATTTGCTCATGTTTTCTATGGAAGAACATCATTTCCAGTGTTGCATTCGAACACACGAGCTTCTTTGATGTTTTGTAAAGGCATTGAAATACATTCTGGTGGCCAATATGCATAGCTCATGCGTTAAGACTCGCCTGAGAACTCTCGAGGTTTGACGGAGATGCATGATCAAAGAAAATTTTTGTGTTTCGGCCACAATGCTATTTGCTTTAGGCCCTCTCGCCAACCTGCAAACACAAACACGATTCGTAAAGTCCTTTGGGTTCCCTAGAGGGATCGGAGGAATGGAGAGGGCAGCGGCTGAAAGACCTGCCTTGCTTCAAGTTTGACTTTCATCTCCGTCTAAAAAAAATAAGATCATGGAGAGAAGTGAGACTTTTAAAAAGCGTATAGCTGGGGCTCTTGCGTATAATAATGCTTAACACTACAAAATAAATGGTTGCCAACATTGATACACGGAAAAAAGCATGATGGTAAAAACTGCTAGATTGGAAGTGACTGAAAATAATACAAAAGTGTCTAAACAAATTTTTTTGCGTTTTTGTGAATGCTGATAATTGCGTAAATAAGTGCGCAAAGCGCATATTATTCATTAGAAGTACAAAATAATGCCAAATTCTACTCTACTATAAAAATGCACACGCAACTTCAAAAAGACTGCGGTTAAGCAAATATCATTTTTTTACAAATAAAGTTAAATTTTGTGCTCTATTGAACTGTAGACCAAATTACTATATATGACACATATATCTACTTAAAAATTCGGAATCGAACCAAATTAATGGCCTAATCAACAAGAATTTGTTTAACTGAGCTTGAAAAATCTTCAAGTAGTCTCCCTCGTAATTGTTGGCGCATTAGTCAGCGAATGGATACAAAGAACTCAGGAAAGATTAAATGGATTCAAGACAAACTCCAGCACGACTTCAATGAGAGAAGTTGCTGCTCAAAAACTTGCGCCAAGCCATTATTGTTACGGAGAGGTCGGTTTTCTCTGCTGGTTTGATTTGATAGCTTAGGATTATTTTGCGTTGTAAATTGCCTTGAATTATTTGTTGACAGAACTCCAAGTTGTATCGGCAAGTCTCGCAAACGTGTAAAAAAATGATTTTTTGCTATTTGAGTAAAATTTTATCTCGGCTGAGCGAATTGGAGGAAACGGCTCCTGACCACAGAAAAATAACTCCATATTTGTTGCGAGGCACAACGAAGTTTTTTGCCTTCCATCGGATTTCCAATTTGCCATTCATGGAATTTCTTTGCGTGGCTGATCTAGGCTTTGCGTGAGGGCCTCAGTTTATCATTTCCCCCACAGTTTGGCGTAAAAAACTTGCCCAAAAGTCCACATCATAAATATTTTTCTTTAGCTTTAGCCTTTGAATTGGGGCCGAAATTCTTCACAGGGTTGCTTACGTTGTGCGCGGTTCCTTTTCTCATTGTTGTTAGTTTAGTTAAGATAACTTATTCATCTTTTATATTATCTACCCACAAGTTTCAAAAGCAGTTCCAGAATTCTTCATTCATATAATTGCTTCGAAATTTACAGTAAAAGAAGATGAGGTAGAAATTACCTGCCACCCGCCTGTCACAAGAAATGTGAAGGCAATTTTATTTTTCAAAAATTAAGCTTTATCCAAAGGGATCAATTATTAAATTCAATTAAAAATATTAAAGCAATTAAAAGTGAGATCAATTATTAAAAAAGAGAAGGTTACTTCATGCAAATGTTGTAGTGCATGCGTTGTATTTGCCTATTCTGTTTCATTTTAGGATAACCCAGACAATTATAAAGAAATTCAAATCTTTAATTGTAATTCACAATGCACGTTGTCAATTTGATTTTACTGGCCATATGAAATCTTAAACCGATTTGAACAATAAATAATATCATTAAATTTACACAAAAGAGGTGCGAATACTATCTCCTGAGTCATGAATCTGCCGAGTTCACAACGTAGTGAACTATAACGATTACCTGCGATGTTCAAGCTACGAAATATGAAGCAACTCGATGTTGGTCCGGGAATTGGTCAGGAGTTGAGAAGAAAATTTGAAAACTTTTCGTTTGCGTCACGTAAGTTGAGATGCAGCCTGAATTTCATCTCTTAAAGCAAGTCGAGAGAATGGATGCATCGGATATCTTACCATTGAATTTATTCTCAATAAAGAGAAGAGGATGATCTCAAGTTTGCACATGAATGTCTGCAGGCAGAGATGCTGAGCATAGCTTAGGCGTTTTGATCCTCAATGGGGGTAGGGTTTATAAGGGAGAACATGGTTGCTCCATGCAAATGACCTACAAGCATTTTACCCATGATTAAGTTGTTTTCAATGTATTAGGAACGTACATAAGGATATTGTGGTAATTCTACAAAGTGATCTGAAACTAGAATGAACATATTAATAAGATTAATGATTCAGAGATTATATTGTGATTTAGATATGTCGGTTAGCAATACAAATTAACTACAGGAAGAACGATTTGTTTTGAAATGTTTTCTTGTTGAGCGAGAAATTATGAGGCATTAGGTTGCAGATTGATGCGCTTTAAAATCCTAGATTAAGTATATTAGCGGTAGCTTCATCACTGTTTATTGGCCATGAATAAATAGGCAGTAACTTGCAGTAAATCTTCAATATAATTACAATGTATTATATTGATGAGTTCCAGGATCAGAAAAAGATAAATTTATCATTGGTTGCGTCCATATTGAAATTATTATATTTTTAGTAGTTTGATTGAAGATGATTGAAATCCATTTAACAGGGAAAAATCGCGAATTCCTGGATTGAAGATCCTTAGCTTCCCACTTACATGTCGTTAGAACAAGACCAAGACATGAGTGGGGACCTCAAGTTCCTAAATTGCCTTGGGCAATACTAATATAACTCGCCTTCGTACATATAGTTGATGAAGTGTGCGTAGCGGCCGATTTCGCGTCTGAGATTGGTGAGTTTTTCAGTCAGTGATTGGCTGCAGGAGTTGAGAACTCTTAACTATTTCTGTTAGTGCAGCCCTTGGACTCTAATAAAAGAGAAGCTGCTGGTAATGCTGCGGTTAGGTTGCACTGGGCGTCTAACGCTCAAAGCAAGTATACTATTGTACCCATTCTTGCAGTGATCACTATGTACATGGACGTACACTGCATTTCTACTAGCTATGTTGACGCTCAATCCTTGTGTTTTTTAGTTTGAGGTGAGAGTAAAAATACATCGCTCTATTTACTTCCAGTGGTATTAGGTGTGCATACTGAACGTCGCACAGGAGCTTCATTATAATAATAGCGGTTTCAGCGTTATTAGGCCGTAGGCCTGTAGCCGATTCTTAACATCGCAGAACATTCACAGCATTTTGCGGTCTCGAACTCGCAACTCACTGCTACAATTCTAATGTGCTTAACCGCCCGGTCTCCTTGCCGATTCTGACCAGAAACTGGCGCACAGAGCTGGGATCGAACCCGCGCCTCTCTGCGCCAATCCTGGTACTCTGAACTTTAACCACTGGGCCACCCTGCCACCCTGCCCAGTTAAAGCGAGATTTAAAAATACGCGTTTAGAGATGATATATTTCGTAACGAACACTCTTCATTCGAGCTTCTTCTAACTTAATAATTGACTGTAACTTGATTGCATTTGCCTTGAATTTGTAGGTATAAGAAGTTCGCGAGGTTTTTCAATGTAGAGTTCAGCAAGAGAGGAGGGAAGTGCATTGGTACACGGACTTCCTACTTCATCATTACGAGTGTTGCTCCTGCTGCTATTGATTCGATGTTACCAAAACATCGTATTCTAAATACTTGAATGCCAAATCATCACATTTTTTAATTTTGTAATCAAATATTAAGGTTTAGAGTTCCTATTATAGAGTCAAGCATTATGTTCTTTTGATTCTCAATTAGTGGTTTGATGATTTCAGTACACTATAGCTGATTTCAAATAAGGCCTTCTATTTATTATAGTTCGTAACTAGGTCTCACCGTCATTAGGCTGTAATATTTTCACAGATATTAATAATTGCCTGCCAGGTTAATTTGTTGCTCCTTGTTAAGAAAGGCTTCAATTTCTGTCAAACAATAAGTGAATGCATTTATAAATGTTGAACAAAGTTGCAAATTAATGAACTTCAGGTGAAAGCCTGACTTCAATTAATGGGCTTCATATGAAGCCCATTAATTGAAGAGGGCAAGGAATCCTCAGATCTAAAACCCAGAATACACCAAGTTTTATTGGGGACAAGAAAATGTTTTCAACCGGAAATCTCAATTTATTACAAAATTACAAATTCCAGTGATGGTCTTTGGGACACAACATCCTGGAGAATTTTAACCGATGTCTGTGTTTTTTATCCTGTCACGAAACGATGCAATCTGTACGCGATGGAACTGTAATCCTCATTTCAGCCATCAATAATTTCTTGCGAGCGGCAAACCCGCGCATGAATAAAACATTAAAAGATCCGTAAAATACTTTCACGGGAATTTGGACGACCAAAGAGAACGTTGGATATGTTGAAAGATTGTCCCTGAGCGCCGGAAGATGATGTCATTAAATTTGGAGCTTGGAGCATGGCAGCAAAATTTCTTTGAGATGCCAGATCAATCCAACCCCTGGATATCGTCAGCATTTGGGTTTATATCATTAGCGAATTCAAATAAAGGGTTGAATACAGATCTAAAAGTGAACGGTGCCGTCCATTATAGCCCGTGATTCAACAATTACGATGAAACTCGTGAGCAGAAACATTTACATGAGCGGGACAAAATGTAAATCGGTTGAGCGCCTACAATTGAACTGCGATGAGCATTTACCAAAGCTTGCTGATTAGAAAGAAAGCTTTTGATTTATAAGAGCCTGATTTAGGAGTTATAATTATCTTGCAGAATGTATATTGAAAGATATTATGTACAAGGAGGCGGCACTAAGGCTCAGAAGCGTTACTTGGGTGTGCGATTAATGGCATGAAGCGTCAAGTGAACTTTATACCATAGAAATGGAATGATGGAGAATGACGGAAGAATGGAATGTGAAAATAAAGCTTTCAAAGAACTACTTTCACTTTTTTTTCTAAAGAGTATAATTCTATATGCATCCCAGAACAAGCAAAGCTTATCTTAATTTTTTATGATATACAAAATTTTTTATTGATTTCACAGGAAACACGGGAAAGCTTTGCATAATTTTGAAAATGATTTGTTCATGAGTAAATAAAATGAATTTCATTAATAACCGCTCCTCATTAATTATTAGAAAACAATCAACTAATAAAATCAAGGAAAAATATTCTACCGTATATGAAAAATTTTTATTTTTGCTGATGAACTTTGGAAACTTTGAAGCCACAAAATGATTCTTTCAATCGAACGTGGAAAAAAATATATACTTCTGTAATTCCAATTCGAACGTGGAATAATAAGATATCATGCGATTTTTACAATAAGGAACAACGTGTTTACAGGGAAGCCAGGCATAATTTCCAGTGTTTCTCGACATTTAATTTATTACTCTCAAATGTGTCTCTGATCACAAGGCTTGATTTACACTGAGGCCGTGCATAAATTCTTTACCATATATATCATGTAGATTTAACATAACATATTTTCTTTCATTTGATTATTGGTATCCGAACTTAAGGTTATTGGTTCTTGAGTGTCAACCACTAATGACAAATTAAGAAGAAAAGCCTTAATCAAAGTGAATTATTTTTACAGTTGTGTCAAAATTTATCACACATTTAACTTGCTTCTTTCTTCGGAATATGGCATTTTACGTTAAATTAATCGGGGTGAAAGATGAAATGAAATTGATTGATGAAATTGATGAAATTTGTTCATGAAAGACGAACAAATTATCATAATCTCGGCACATTATTTATTACGAAATACTGGGGAAACAAATTTAATGTAAAGTGTCTGTCGAATGAATTTCAAAATGAATAAAAATAGTGAAAATGTTCTCACGCATTTGCTCCATACAGTCGTTGCTCGAGTTTCCCGCGTCTGGCAAGTTGATCGAACTTTCAGATACATAAATGTGGTTAAATGCCCGTAAATTTCCGGCAATCTTATGTGATATGCACAGTTTCTATTGGGTGGTGCAGCTATGAATAAGCTACTCTTATAAATTAATAATTATTTGTGATTGCTTTAAATACGATTGATTCTACTCGCTCTACATTAACTAACGGGTATACAAGAAATGATATGTGCAATATTTTTTAGCTTCTTCTTAATTATGAATGCCTTCGTACACATTATAATAACAGCGAGTGAAATTAGCAGTTTAATGTAAGATTTCAAAAAGAGTCTTATGAACGAAAATACGCTTTTTATGTTTAACTCCTGTGAATAGAGGGTGCAAAACTTGGATCTCTAAGCCCTCATTTTTTTAAGACGACCTTGCGATCAGCGAAGCTTTGCGATCATCCAAAAATTTGAAATTTTTGAAAAATTTTCCGAAAACACTGCCCTGCGCCATGACTTGATAATTTTGTGAACGCCTGGCGAGTCAGCCTTATTTGTGCATGAAAATCACGCAATTACGAATACGTAAATGATTAGAATTACATCAGAACCTTGCATTTCGAAATGAATTAAACTGCGATCACAATCTCAATTCCAATTTTAAGATTATTATTATTTAATGTTATATTAATTGCCTCACATTTATGAATTATTGATCTTGACTGTTGAGAGCTATGAAACGATATTTTCTGAGCGGCCTTCGTCATTCTTTCGCTTCTGATCAAGGCAGTCGCTCATCAAACTTCGAATAATTTTTTATATTGGGTATAAAAAAATGAAATTTGACTAATAGAGTAGTTTAACTAGGGAAAATTTCTGGGGAGAAGTGCGATTTGTTGGGAGATAATAAAAAATATTCTAATCGAGTAAGCTAATGAAAGAATATAGGAGAATAGTCACTTTTTATCTAGCGTGCAAGGATTCGGACGTTCTAGGTGCAAAGTATTTATCTAAATTAATTTATTTGAAAGGGCTTTTAACACATCTAATCATTATCCTTCATCAATCCTTGTTCTAATGATGTAGTAATGGCAAGTCTCTTTGTAATATTTCACTACGATTTCTTGAATAACGTTCAGGTCCTACTTTTTTACTATTATTTCTTGAACTAAGTTGCTCGGAGTGACTAAATTATCCACAGACTAAGATTAGTTGTACTATATAGCAAATAACTTCTAAATACGTGCAAATTGCGTTTATAATCAAAGGAAAATTTCTTCGTTCAGACCCGATATTCACACGAGAAATGTATTACCTTGAAATAATGTTAAGTGTTCTGACCGTTCGCAAATCGAAATCCCAAAAATGACAAAATGGAGTAATCTTTGAAAGGTGATGCTTCTACGATTTTCCTTGAGCTATTTAAAAGTACGCGATTGTTTTATACGCTAGTAACATCCTTTTAGATAATTAGAATGTTCTGTTAAAAATTGCGGTTTTTATACTGAAAAAATGCATTAATAACCAAAATTAAGCCATTACGCATTTTAGTTTTTTTTAGATATCTATTAAATTAGTTGAAGCGCCCCGGTATACGGTGTATCGCACCCGTTCGTACTTGTACACCCGTACCGCTGATATTTTATTGCATTTGAATCATTGTTTTTATATTTATGGAAATTCGTGAATTTGATTAGGTAGGAAATATTTACAACCTCAAATCACAAAGGAAAAGATTAGTTATATAACTTTTATTGACAGAAATTGAATTCTATGTAATTAATTTCGATGTCAGACGAGTGTGCCCGGCTTCAATATGGCGCCCGACGAATATATGTAGTCAGCTTCTGCACGTCTGTTTACATTGTGGTCTAGACGAGGGGAGGTCGAGGGGTTAGCAGCGCTGTACCCATTGTGTAGAGGGGAACGTAGATGAGGGGGTGGAGAGGGGCCGTAGGGAGAGTAAGGGGAGTACCTGGCAGCGAGTGAAGACAAAACAGGTTAATTAAATAGCTAAAGTCTGAGGAAAATAACTGCTTTATCCACTAAATCGTATACTGTAATTTGAAATAAATTTAGACAGTCGATGGATTATTTCTTATCTGTATCCAAGATTGCAGAGGAATTTGGTATTGTTAGTTAATTACGAAAGTGACATCAAAGTCAACATTAAAATATACGTCTCACCTGCTGTTCATGTGATGGTTCATGTCAAGACTCTGCCTCATTCCATCATGAGCCACGCCATATGCGTCACAAGGAGCATGAAAAATGTCTCCGTTGTGCCTTATTCCGTTCACCGGCTGCGGCAGTGCCATCATTGAACCACTCCCATTATTTTCCAAGTGATGACTTATAGCCCCATTGTTTTCAAGCGTATGTCCTGCGCTTCTGTCCATGTGGTGGCTCAGGGTAATGTCAGGCCCCCGAGCTCCTCGTCTCATGGTGCAGAAGTCGGGGGTTCTTGGGTCGGCCGGCGGCGCGGCCCTGGCGCTGCCGAGGCCGGAGAGGGAACAGCGGCGCTCGATGTCGTGGTCGTCGTTGAGGCTCATCAGCGGCATGTACACTGAATGGTCGTCTCGGTGCTGCCATCCCACAGACCAAATAAATAATTGAGCTTTGATGAGTGAAATTGTTGGTAAAATCTGCATATTATTTTAATTTTATTGTAAAATTTTTATCATATGGTAATGTTTTTATCCTATAGGAGAATTTTCATCTTATGATAGAACATTTATCATTTTCTAGTATTGAATTAATCGGCACAGAAGGATTCAGGGAAGTTTTCTTCCGTCCTGCAGCTTCCCATAATGGAATGCTGGAATATTGGATGACTTAAAAAGATACCAAACACGAAGAGACAGAATAAAACAATTAAAATTATACATAAATCCCACAAAAGAATTTTGCTATGATAGATGAATGGGCCTGAAATGAAATTGAAGTTTTCATTCCAAATAGAAATCAAATACAGAACTGCTTTTGATGCGAATTTTTCTAGAAGTCAATGAGGAAATTTTATAATAATTATTGACTACAGACGTTTGTTAGAGTTGAAGACTCTCATTATCGAAAGATTTACCTCGCGCCTGATCTGCGGCGAGAAGGTGGAGGTTCCGTCATGTCCATAACTGTTGTTCTTCTGGGACCTGTTGACCTCCAAGAAATTGTTGTTACCACAGAGGTTGTTGTCGCCCAAACCGGTCGCCGCCATCGAGTTGTTCTCGTGGCCTCGGGAGGCATGAGTTGGAGACGGAGTGGCTCGGTCGCTGAGGCGGGCGTCCGCATTTGCGGAATACATGTTCGGAGGTCCGGACGGTGTTGAGACCATCTTTTCGGGTTCCGGGGAATCTAAAAGAGAAAGAGTGGATGTGTAGCGAAAAGTTTAGTGGGGGAGGCTCTGGGTAGTGTGGAAACTTTTGAGCTGCAGATTTTGCTTTGCAGTGATCACGTTCAGGGGATATTGGGAAATTTAGTTCTACTGGTGGTGGTTTCTAAATCCAATATAATCTGGATAATTTTTTTTCAATTCAATGTCCTAAATTAGGTGAAAATGTTTATTTTCTGTGTTTTAGAACAGTATTATACCCGCAGCATTTTTCATCCATTTCATGTTTTATTTACTGAAACACTTGTACTGTTCATTTAGGTTACTTAATGCATTTATGAAAGCTTGTGCACACGTTTTAAACCAGGCACCGTAAATATAAAGGCTATTCGAACACTCATACACGGTGATGGTCGCGTCGAGATATTTTATGGGAATTTTATTTCTAATGGATGAATTGTATTATATAAGACTTTTCTGCGTTTACAACATCATAAAGTTTGCAGCTACATTTTCATATTAATAAAGGACAAAAGATAGAGTTAATTCTAAGAGGAAAGAGTTACCATGAATTATACGCCTACATTCGATTATAATACGCGTTTTAAGAAAATAACTGATTTGTGAATTATTATATTTTCTGAGGCTCGATTTTAATAGTAGACAGCCGAAAATAAAAGTGTTTCGTTATTAGAAAGTTTACACAAACGAACGTCTCGGACGTTTTTAAAACCGTCCACTTATTGTACAGATGGTTAGTGTAACCGTCCACTTATTGTACAGATGGTTAGTGTAACCGTCCACTTATTGTACAGATGGTTAGTGTAATCGTCCACTTATTGTATAGATGGTTAGTGTAACCGTCCATTGTTTGCACAGATGGTTAGAGTAACTGTCCCCTATTCGCACAGGTGGTTAGTTTAACTGTCAACTGTTTGTACAGATGGTTGGTGTTGGTTAGGCATTTTTCGTTTGAACAGAGGGTTAGTGCACTTCATGTAAATCGAAGCAGGCTAAGCATTTATGTCATAGATTTGTTTATTGTTAAATGATTTTATTGAAGGCAGTTAGCAGCAAGTATATTGCTGACCTCGCGAGAACCTGACGGTTCTGTGCATGTGGCCTGAAACGCTGCGATTGCGCATGAGGCTTCTCGAGCAGCAGCTGCATCCGGCTTGTGGTGAATAAATGCATAAGTGGGAGGTGAATACATTCAAATAAGGTTCATAGAATGAATATGAGCAAATAATGGGATCAATGCATTTTTTATTATTTAGAGACGCACTTAGTTTATAAAAATATCAATATTGAAAACGGTTTATTTTGTTGTAAGTTAGTGTTGATGTTAAATTAATTAAAAAAGATTGGCTTATTTAGAATTTTTAATTTTTTTAAGTTGCCAAAGGAAACTATCGAAAGAATGAAGATTTATAATTTCTAAATATTATAAGATTATTATAAACCAAATCGTAATGTGTACAATTCAGCGTTCAATAAACAACTCTTTGGAAAGTAAATAAATTTCTTGTTGTAAAGTCCGTAGACTTTCGTCGAATACGAGCAGTTATTTAGATTCTTGGGTGGCAATGGAATTGAAGAGAATTGTATTGAATTTATCGATGTTTGGTAAAATAGGTAAGCCTTCCTCATGATTATATTATTTTAAAACTGTATTTCACGCATGAAAAAAATTCTTGTTTTTAGACAGCTTACGACATGAATGCATCACTTAACTTTAATACATAAAATCTGCTTTTTGGCTCTTTCGAGTGCAGTGTTCCTGCGAATGGACAATGTTTAAAGAATATTATTAAGTCGTTGCTTCCAATCATTATGAAAATTGCCACTAATAAAACGATTGCCAATAAACTTTATCCTTAGTTCCCAAACTGAAGATTATATCCAAACTTATGATTATTCTCTCAAATTAAGAACAATAAACAGAAATGCAGCTCAGCAGCAGCGTTAGTACGATGGAAGCTGGTGATCCTGAGGAGGTAGCACCAGTAACGCTGCTGACAGTTATCCCTAGATTGGATAATGGATGCTAATTTAACTTCGGCCTCCGGTCGAGTTAAAAGTTCAGAAAAACATTGATTTTTATCGGGCAGTTTAGATCACAGGAAGGAGGATCAAGACTTAAGATTGAAATTTATTGAGCAGAAAAAAGAAAAAAAACTTTTTTTAACTGATAGGAGAGTGATCAGGTAGAAGAGTAATCAAGTCCGATATTCAACACATGTAGACTTTGATAATAAAAAATATAATTTATATATGAACGATTAATAGAATTATTGATTTAGACGAAATTAATTTAAAACGAAAATGCTACCACTGTAGATGATACTAATGGATCTAAACGATAAATAATTTCAACCTAACTTACCTAAATGTGACTTTAATTATGCTGCTTTTCAAAGTTTCAATTCAAGCAGATTAAAGTTATTAAGTTATTTGAAATTTACAACTCGAGGCTTAATGCTTTACTAAAATGAAGAAAATTACCTTTGGAAATACCTCAAGGAAGAACCTATCATAACTCTCAAAAATAATCAATATCACATTATAGCAACTTATCAGCAATGTGAAGAGGTATAAATATACCTGTCTCCACCACAAATGAAATAAATTTTAAAGTCTGCAAGGAAAAAGTTGTTTATAAAGTTTAGCTCGTGGAAACCAAACAGAGAAGCTTTTTGAAACCAGCAGCAATATGCCTCGACGCAGTCTTTTCATGGAGACGTTTACATTGCGAACGAAGTACGAAACCTGAAGCGCAGCCCATAAAAGTGAAGAGAGGGGACACAAAACTGACAAAATTGACTAAATTGCCCGCCATGCGCGGACGCAGGACGAAGCTTTCTGCTTTTTGGATGCATGACGTGACAACAGCGCGCGTTAAAACTGAGACGAAGGCGTACGTAATAACCGAGACGGTGCACGTTATAACTGAGACGAAGGCGTGCGTAATAATCGAGACTGCACGTTATAACTGAGACGAAGGTGCACGTTATAACTGAGACGAAGGTGCACGTTATAACTTAGACGAAGGCGTACGTTGTAAATGAGATATGAACGCTTTAACTAAAAGTACTTGCCATATGTACATAAGTTATTGATCTTTTAGATTTAATATTAGGTTGCAAGTGCGTCTAGTTAAGGTCTTATGTCCACAACTGAGGTGGAAAGATATCACTTTGATAAATGGATTATGCAAAGAAAAACTAGATCCTGAAAGATAGAAATAACTTAGTGACAAAAGTAGGATAACTAGATTAGTATTGATAAAACTAGATAACGATAGGTGTAAATACATTGAAAGTTAGAACCAGATTTGAGTTTTCGGCATCATCTAGTTAGTTGTAGCTTCCACCGGGCATATAATTCTTCTGATCCGCTCGCAGAAGTGGTTGACATCAGGTTGCTCTTAACACTAGATTGCTCTCTCGGAATAAATAGATGACCTCTAATATTAATATTAATATTATATATTAATATTAATAATTACCTTTATCGCGACAGACGCGTTTCCTGCAGAGCACACAAATCGCCAAAGGAAGGACAACGAGGAACTGAGACGAAGGCGCACGTTATAACTGAGACGAAGGTGCACGTTATATCTGAGTCGGCTGTGCACGTTTAAAATGACATATGAACGTTTTAACTGAAATTACTTGCCATGCATATGTGTGTTTAAGTTATTGATCTTTATATTTAAAATTAAGTTGCAAGTGCGTCTAGTTGGGGCCTTATGTCCACAACTGAGGTGGAAAGATATCACTTCATAAATAGATTATACAAAGAAAAACTAGATCCTGAGAGATAGAAAAAACTTTTCAGTGATAAAACTAAGATAACTAGATTATCATTGATAAAACTAGATAACGAGAGATGTAAATATATTGTGAAAGTTGGAACCAAATTTGAGTTTTCTGCATAATCTAGTTGGATGTAGCTTCCACCGGGCATTGAAATTCATCTGATCCGCTGGTTCAGAAGTGGTTGACATCAGGTTGCGCTTAACACTAAATTACTCTCTCGGAATGAATAGATGACCTTTAAGTATATTGCGTATATTCAAATTAATATTATATATTAATATTAATATTAATAATATTATATATTATTATTAATATTATATATTAATATTAATAATTACCTTTATCGCGACAGACGCGTTTCCTGCAGAGTACACAAATCGCCACAGGAAGGACAACGAGGAAGAAGGCGCCTGAGCTGCCTAGCACTAGCGCCAGGGGGACGCGCTCTGGTCAACAACAATATTTTGAATTAATTGCGAGAACTGAGAAAGTTTTCTCAAAGAAACGAAGTTATTGGAAGTAATGAAAATATTATTCTAGAAAATGCATAAAATGTATGCTATAAAGTATAACGATAGAAAATGTAATGGCACACCGGTTTTATTCGTATTTTTTCTATAAACTAATTCACTGCTCATTGTTCACTGCCTAATTTATAAATAAATTTTAATGAAAGAAAACCCGTCTTACGATCTTATAGGGTCTATGGATTGCGTCTCTGTGCTCTTACTATAAATTAATTCAATGCTCATTGTTCACTGCTTAAAATATAAAGAAATTTCAGTGAAAGAAACTCCGGCATCCGATCTTAGAGTCTCGGGATTGCGTCTCTGTGCTCTTACTTTCTTCGTTAAGTCGTATGAGTTTCCTGGCGACGCCGTACTCGTTCACCACCGAACAGTTGTAGTCGCCGAAGTCCGTCTCTGCTGCATCATGAATGACAAGGATTGTTCGTAGGCCTTCGAGCCGCTGCTCTTCCTTCACTTCGTAGCGCGAACTGCCTGCACGCGAGTCAAATATACTAATTAAAGGAAACATAATCATGGAGGAAGTCTGCTAATGAGTCCAATATACAAACTAGTGGATACATAATCATGGACGGTCTTTTTTTACTTTGATTTTTTTATAGTAATTGATATTTATACTTTAAGTCCAAGGTGATCAAGTGCCACGTTGATGTGTATGGGAATTATTAAAGACTAGTCAAACAAATATAGTTTTGCATTCTGTTCGTTTGAATAAAATTATAAAAATTTGTTCTCGGGATTGAAATTTGTTCCCTGGAATTGATGAACAAAAAGCATGGGGAATGAGAAATTTGCAAGACATCTCAATATAAAAGATTAACTTTAATTAACTTTAATAAATGTATATCATTACATAAATCAAACGCGTATGCACTTAATCGAACGTTATTCTCATCAGTAATTTTGCCTACGTACCGAGATCAACGGGCTTCCCTCTGTACGTCCACGTGACTTTGATGGGGCTTGGGACGGACACTGTATTGCATTCTAAGTGCACGGTCGCCCCAGGCCGCCCCACTTGGTCCGTGGGGCTCACAATGGTGGGTGGCCCCTTGAGGAGCACTTTCATCTTGCCAATTAGCTCGGGGAATTGTAGGTCGCGTTCCCGCACCCCCGCTACGCAGCGATACGCACCCGCGGTCAGCGGGCTCACCGACACCCGCAGCTCTGACCCGTTCCCGATGATCTAATATGGAAGGCAGTGAATGTGTGCATTACTGGGGTCGATTTGAGTCAAGTTAATTGACATTTTAATATCGTGGCTCGTGGGAGGGATATTTTGGGTCTTAATTAGGCTGAGAGGATACTTTATCCAGCCATTTGTAAATTTCGTCATTTATATTGAAATCATTTTCAAAAATTGCTAGTTTCTAAAAATATTGTAAAATAAAATTCTTCACGTCAGTCAATCGATGCTTACAGTGATTTACTCTTGAAACTTCTGTGTGAAAATTCTAATCAAGTACAATCAAGATTCTAATAGGTGAGAATAATACCAAGTATTGTATAATAAAATTTCAATTTAATAACCCGACATCCATGAATAAATAGATAAAATAGAGCCATTAAAAAACATACTATATAAATGCACGAAAATGCAATTGATGATATGATTGATGCAATTGATTATAGATTGATTAGATTATAGATTTCATACTATGAGAGATAACAAACTTTGTTGTCCCCCTCCTGCAGCCACACGATGGAAGGCTGGGGGTTGGCGTCGACGCTGCATCTGAGCAGCACCTCCTGGCCCGTCTCTGCCGCAGCGTCCAGGGGCAGCGACCTGAACACTGGCCCGTACCGGACGTGTACCCCCAGGGTCTTCTTAGACGATCCTACTTTGTTGGACACCTGCAGCATAACCTTCAGTTAACCTTGAATGATAAGAGATAAAGTACATGAGAAAGTACATGATAACCTTTAGTTAACCTTGAATGATAGTAGATAAAATACATGATAAAGACGCATATAACTTACACAATGCACGTGGTTGTTAACCTAAACAGCCAGAATTTTTTTACGTTTTATTTGAAGTAAGTCTGAATTTAACTCATTTATGACTAGTTTAAAAGCTCATATGAATTGAACATATTCATGTGAGAATAAAACACATCACACGTGGAGAGCCGTAACAAAAAAGATGCTGGCTTCTAATTTGAAGTCAAAACATACAAAATACTGTATTATATGCTTTCGTTTCAATGTATGCAATAATGCTCGGAGCGATACAAGCAGCATAACTCAGCCTCTATAGAGCCACTATCCTGAGCGGCTGGTTTCAAGGCAATCAATTTTCCATTCAAAGTATCCGTGATGTATTTAGTCTGAGTCTGCGAGAATGCGTCGTCCGGCCATAATTACCTCTATAGAAACTATCGCAGTATCGATCTTATCTGCTGAGCTCGTTCACAGGCTGACGGGAAAACGATTAGGCGAGGGAGAGGTTTAAAATTAACATAGAAATGAGAGCGTACAAGAGAACGCAAAGGAACGAATGATGAATTTCGAACAAAAGGGAACTAATAGTCTCCTTATACTTTGTATTGAATCTTTGTGACACTCGTAGAATCATGTTAAAGTGTGTTATTTTAACCTGTTAATTGTTCAAAGCCTGATTAAACATTAATAATGGGACTATAAGATTTTTTAGTCTTGTCACTATCTGAAACTAAAATTTACTATACAGCCTAAATTACAGTAGTTAACTGTTATTACTAAGAAAAAATAATTATCCTCAACTGGCAATGTAATGTCATCTGTTTTGAAATTTAAATTATTTCTTAAACTAAAATATAAAAGTTCAGAGATGCAGCTGACCTCGCAGGATACCGTGTCCTTATGCATGTCCCTTGAGATCCTCGGCAGCGTTAAAGTCCTCAGTGTTTGGTTCTCGAGCTCAACGCTGTTGTGGTACCATCTGTGAAAGCATACCATATCCTGTATTTATCCTGTACTGCAACGAAATAAATCAATTTTTTCAATAAATGTCATCGGCATTATTGGTAAGAGCACGGATTTTCTTTAAGGTTAGCGGGCGAATGACAAGATTATGAATTCCTGCCGATAATCGCACGGAAACTCCGACTTTTCAGCCAAGATTATCAAATTCACGGCGAAATTTTGTAGTGAATGGCATTGAAATTTGTCCACTAACGGCACATTTGTTCTTGCAGTCAAGCGGCTAAAGAAGAAACATGTTCATAAATTCATGACGAGTTTTCCTAACGAGTTTACAATGAAGTAGAGTTTCTTGGTTTCAAAGGTATGTATTTGGCTTAGATACGAAAGATGTCTATTTTGATGTTCCAAGTTAATTTTTTGAAAATCTTTCTTTATAACGAGGTTTTTTCATTTTATTGGACCTTAATTAGTCTCACGAGATTCCGAAATTTGCAACAAGCATTCTTTGGAAATTGAATTCAAACATGGAAAGAATAAATTTAGAATTATTTTATTAATATTTGGATCAATACTCAAGAAGTTCTGGTATCAGAATATGAATGTTCGCCTCAAGTTATCCCCGAGATATTGCGTAGATTAATATATTTATTAATATATTTATATTGTTTCTCACGTTAAAGGTTGCTCAGATAATTTATTGCGAAAATAAGTTACAAATGTAATGAATTTCAGATCCTAAATCATAAAATCAGTTCTGCCGAGAAAACAAAAATAAATAAATTAACAGCTGCCCAAAACACGCAAGGGAAATCTTTTCACAGCGCGATTCTCGCTAATGACGAAAAATGCGTCGTTTAGGGATTTATTTCCACGGCAAAATAGGAAATCGACAAGCAGACAACAGAAAAACATCAACGAAATACGTCAGTTCTCGATAATGATGAGTTTCATCGCAAGCTTTACACTCAAGGAATTCTCTTCAAACGAAGGTATTGTGCGGCATTCGGCCATATTTCCGACGGGCTTTCTAATTGTGCTGCGCATGGAGCGGAAGCGTGACGAAAAAGTCACATCCCATCGGTGATAATTGCGCAGATCTTCTGCGAAAAAAGTCAATCAGTGACAATTATCCGCACGCAATTATCTCCATCGAGCCTGATCATCATGATTGCGACTCATGCTAAATGGAATGGGATTGGTGCATTTCGACAGATGAGGGATCCTCGCTAGGGATTTTTGAGAATACTGTGCGCAGGAATGCTGTAGCACTTCCAGGTGATGCTGTTCAGTATACGTGCCACTTATTGATGATAAATTTTTACCGTAAGTGTAGTAACAGTCGCCAAGATTTGGGGATTGACGGTGTAAATTGTTAAACTCCAATGAACAAAACTCAGGAGTCAATCATAATTTCGTTAAAATTCACAGACATTTCCAAATTTACGAACCTGCTTTTTTCTAGAAATGAGCATAGGAATAAAGCGCACAGATTCACTTTTAAAAAACTCACGACAATGTTAAGTCGGTGCAAGTTCAGCGTAAATTAGACGTTTCCAATAAATTAAATATTCTGACAGCTGATCAAAACCAAGTCTCCATTACTGATGCTAGGCTCTGATAAGTGATGCTGATGTCGCAATCAGATGATGCGTGCTGCCAGCTAACAAGATGTGTACTTTGTAAGCTAAATTCTAGGACGCGCTACTCGTCATTAATCTTCTTATGTAACTTTTTTAAAGGAACTTTATAAATACCTCTTTATTTTTTCAAGCAGAACTTCTCTTTGGTGCCAGTATAAATCGCTAAAACATTGGAAAGTTATACTTCTTTATTCATGTTTATTCATTGCATTTCCTACGATCGTCTAGCATCTGTAATCTTTAAGGCAGACTGAAAATAAAAAAGTCGAGATTTTCGACCCACAAAATCAAACAAGCGGTTCAAAATGATGGCTTAAATCCAAAGTTCTCGGCTAGAGTAGCGTTCCATGTTCTTTTAGGGGGACTTCCTTTGTAGGTTTTGAATCTCCAGAATTGGTGCAATTCAGTCGGCTTTAGAGAAGTCAGTGATAGGAGTTGTGGTCAGTGTACGGAAGAGGTTGGCTGTGGCCGAAAGAACGAATTCTTGTGTGAGGTACGTTGTATGCAATGTGGTTGCGTATCACTCGCTACACAGAAGATCAAAAGCTGAATTTGTCCTTTGAGGATGCGGCCTTCAGAGTCCAGTGACCACCATTAAATATAATGGCCAGGGAAATAACAATTCAAGTTCTGCAAGAATTCACCGGTATTTTGACCGGCCGAAAAGAACAAGGTCAAAGGTCAATCAAAACAACGGCCAAAGAAAAAAATTTATAGCACAAGACGTCACATTTACATTAAAAGTTTTCTCAAAAAAAAGAACGGAAAAAGAAAAAAAAGCAACCAATAACCTCAAGTCCAAAAAAAAACCTTTCAAACCAAAAAAAGCCGCCTTCAACAACCCCGTCCAACCGCCGCCCTTTTTAACAAGAAATTCCCAACAAAAGTTCAAGCACCTCCAAAAAAATCCTAACAATCCAAAAATCAAAAACTCCAAAAACCAATCCAAAATGAAAAAAAAATTAATAAAAAAAAACCAAAGAACCAAAAAAAAAAATAACGTTAAATTTAAAACCCCACAAATTAAGACCAAACGGAAGAACAAACGGAAAAATTTTCCCGTAAGCCGAGATAACATAATAGATAGTGTCAGTATTTAGAAAGTAATGGTTTTATACGCTTATATTGCGTATTTTTTGAATATTTTATTATTATAGTTATGTTTGTGAAGACAATGTACTCTTTTCTTTTCTGTAGTCGGGAAAAATAAATGTGTGCCTAAATAAAACATTACTTTAAACAATATTACTAAAGAGATTGATAAGATAAACGCTAAATTCAAGCTTAAACAGAATTATGAACTTAACAATTTTTCAAAGGAATCATCTGAAGTCAAATATCACCCAACAGAAGTTATCCCACAAAACATCAAAGTGCCAAAAAATTAAATGGAATTACGGCGGAAGTTATATCATGAGTGCATTATCGAAATTTGTTTTGCAGTTTTGTAAATAGGCAGTATATATATGGAAGAGTAACTATTATTCTGAGGTTCTATTTCATGCCGAAGAACATGTGACTCATAAAAGTATATAAGATACTAGTTTCCTACGGACGACGAACAAAATCATTAAAGTTTATCTCTAAAATTTTATAACATTGATCATTAGATAGTTCATCCCTATTACAGTTGATAAGAATTTTCCCTTACCATGCAGGATTGCGAAGATAAAACAGGCTTATAGCAACAAAAAATTGATGCGCCTAAGATGTTAAATCCTTTTCTATATGCAGAGTTTAGTACTAGTCTTAAACTGCTGACGCTGAATGTACAAATAACACACAGTAAGACTAGACCCGAGACAAGAAAGAGCGAACAACCCCAAACTCCTTTGAAAATCAGTAAGTACGAATAATTATTTATACTTAATTCATAGTATCCATGTTGAGTAACTGCTATAGTTAAAGAAGTTTAAGTTAGATCATATAGTTGAGTTATTGAGTTACCTGAAGCTGAGGTCAGGTGGGTTGGCCTCGGCGTGGCACACGAAGTGGGCGTCGTCGCCCTCGACGAGCCTGGGCGGGTGGGCGCTCACCTGCACCTCGGGGGCGAAGTACACGCGCACCCGCGCTGAGCTGCCCACAAAATCCACAACAAAACATATTTTAAATCATTAATGCATAATAAATTTAGCGTAAGAAATTCAACTTCAATAAAGCTTCGTAAACCTCAATATAAAAGGAGAATTGAGGACAGTATAGGCACTTCGACGGCCTGTTCTTTGATGACGGAATCAAAGATGCATCCGTCAAAGATGGCGGATGCATCTTTGAGTTTCGGTAGGCAGAGAAACGTTTCCGTAACTTAGATTCTTCGTAAGATTGTGGGAAACAGCGAGTGTTGTGAGCTGTGTGTGAGGAATAATAAGAAATTATTTAAATTTGAAAGTATTTGTTCATATGCGAGACGCATGGTGGTTTAGGTAATTGAGAATACATCTGTAACTTACGATATGGATGGACCAAAAGATTGTTCACCTAAAGAGAGGCGTGGAGAGGGCTTGGTGCGAGGTGATGCAGGTGATGGTGCTATTGTCGTGGGTGCGTCTGGGGACGAATGTGAGTGTGGACGTTACGATGGAACGTTTGCTGTCCCCCATCATCTCCATGGTGGTCACGGCACCCAGACCCAACGGGTCCCGCGGGTGCTTGTCGTCCACCCACTGGATCTGGATGTGCATTCAAGAAGAATATTCCATTTTATGAATGATGATAGATTTTTCGATGATTTGTTGTGGGGTCATTAATTAGAGTGTTATATGCATGAAAATAATCAATTAATTATCTCTCACGGTACATGACCATTCTAAGGTAATTGATCGCATAATAGTTTTTTATAGACTAAAATTCTGTTACTTAATATTAGTTGGATTCTGCAAATTCAACGCTCAAAAATTCGTTCCGGATTTTCGTTTGTGAGAGAATAACTGGAGCTCTGCTTTTACTGAATAAAATTTCAGACCTCGGGGGGCGGTTTGCCTCCTCTGCTGGTGCACTTCAGCGTCGCGTGAAGACCAGTTGTGGTCTGCAGCTCAGCAGGCTCCACGACAGGCGGGTCTGGTGGTACGTAGACCTTCAACTGCACCTCCTCAGACCTGTGATAGACCATGATGAATCAGCATTTCAGCGATTTATAATTACGCTAATTATAATTATGCTAATTTATGCGATTTATATAAGGGAATCTTACGGCATGAGATAGAAAATGAAACAAAAGTAACGTCATTGCTACTAACGTCGCCGGCCTCCATTAGAAGCGGTTCATCATCTAGGCAAAACTGAACTACAACTTTATAGTGCGATCAAAACATCATCGTAGTTAAAATGTGGTAACCGAATTCTAGTTAAGATTAGTATAATTAGCAAGAGGCGAGTTCAATGCAGTATCTAAATAGTGGCAACTCATGTGCTATGGGAGGTCGTAACAATGATCTACACTTTAAGGAATTATTCGATCAACCACACGCCTGGGCGCATGCACTTGAAATATAATCGTTTTATCTACAAGGCTGCAGAGTTGGCTGGCACTGCAGTTTAGTACCTCGGTAGCGAATTTATCAAGGTGTACCGCTCGTCGGAAAAGAAAGGAAGCAACGAGGCTAGCACAACGCCATAAAAGAAGAGAACGTTGACAAAATCAGCCGAGCTGACCTTATGCCAGGCACTCCATCGCTGGCTGAAACCTGACACTGGAAGAGTCCGTCGTCGTCCAGCTGCACGGGCTGGATCCGTAGGCTGAAGTCACCTGGACATGTGAAATTTAATTATTCATACATTCGACTGAGATCAACAATTACGAATTACTATGAACATAGTAAACCGTAAAATATAAGTTTGCGTTAGACTTTTGAATTATTTCCAGCAAAACTTAGAAAATCGTATTAATGCGAACAAAATATTCAATTTTGGTATAAACATAATTTTCGAATAATGAGCCGATTCAACTGAATGATAAAAAAATTCGTAAGAAATTACTTGACAAGCACACAACACAGGAAAACTGTATTTCTATATTACCTTCGTCGTCTGAGCCGATCATGCTGTACCGTGCAAATCCGTACAACCTTCTTTCGTTACCCAAGCCGAAGCCATCTTTGGTCCATTGTAAATGACCGACTTTGTTCACAACTCTGTCAACAGAGAACATTGTGAGTGAAGCCTTACAAAACTATCACTAAACTTGCGGCAGAAAGACCCAATTGAACTCAGCACGTATAAAATACTAAATTAACAGCTATTGACGACTTAGCGCGAAATTAAGCCCCAATAAAATCAAACGCTATCAAGCTGACATATTGATCAGAGAAGTGTTAAGAAGCTTGGGGAGTTTTCCGAGAAGTTTTTGTGAAATTGAAAAAAAGTTTGCAGAGGTAGATCAGTTTCTAAGTGTTCATCTGTGAAAACTGACCGATTCATGCACTGCATTTATAGACAACAAAATGACGAGAGAATACAAATGAATACATTGAATCAAATTAATTTTTTTATTGATAAAAGTGCGAAAACGGGTAAATATCAATCAATTAATTATTCTTGCTTTATGTAGATTTGATAATAAGTACTATTGCATTCATAACATTCAACGAGGCTGAAACCAATTTCAATGAAGACAGCTGAACCGAGTAGCTGCAGCTGCTGTCTTGAGACCAAAAAATCTTACACAAAACCCATGACCCATCAAAAATTAGGCCAACGATTACCCTCTATCTTCACGAGTTGCCACTATCAGAAGGGGTAATACACACATAGGAAATCGTATTAATTAATAAATGTTCTTACACTATGTGTATAACACCTATGGTGTGATAACATCTACTGCGGGGTTCTCCACACAAGCAATGCTGATCTCATATCCTATAATAATCAAATGGCTTATCAATTCGCCTAAGACGCACGCACCTGCAAGGAAGGACGACCGTGGACCCAAGCACGGCCGTCTGCGGCGCCGGCTCGGTGGCGAAGCGCTGTAGGCCCGACGAGTCGAGCGTCTCGACCGCAGACCCGCCCATACCTGGGCCCAGGCGACTGTCGTGGATCACGACTGGTGAGTGAAGCGCCCCTCGTTTGCGGTGTCGGTGGTGGGGACCGCCGTTCGCGTTATTTGTCTCTTCCCATGCTATTGAGGAGGCGGTCGAGGAGAAAAAATTCTGGACGGTTGGTTCTTGGGATACCGAAATAAAGAGGCTTTGCGTGTTGCGGGATTCTGCAGAGTAGTCAAGCGAAGAGTTTTCTGGAGTCGCAATATTTTCTTTCTTCACAGGGTTTCCGTTACTTAAAACTTGAATGAAGCCTGTGATGGATTCATCGTATAGAACTTTTAAGTCGTCATCAACAGCTGCATCTTCAGAGCTATCCCATTCTGAATTAAAGTTATTTTCATCTCCTGAATAATCTAAATTTCCATTGAGATCTTTGAAAGCCATTGATATTGCACGTTGATTGCGGCGCTTGTTTTTTCTGAAGAGTTTTTCATGAGCGCCAGCGCCTCGGTTCTGCATTTTGAAATTATTCGAATTTCGTTTGCTGTGAAGGAAAACAGCATGTGACAAGAAATTGGGATTCTTCGTAGACTTATCTTGAATTTTAAACGGATTGAGCTGGTTCCTTTTCATCAAGCTTATTAAGTTTTTCCTTTTTCTTGCAGATTTCCGCCGTTCAGATTGTTTCACAATAAAAATTTCTCGAGCTTGCCGAGATTTTCCTTTTAAATGAAAATTCGAATTTCCAATTTTTGAAAGTATTTTATGATGACCGGTGATATTGAAGGCCTTTTTTCTGGTTAACCTTTCGTGATTGTTTGGTCGTAAGCAATCATCAGCGTCAGCACAAGGACTAAGGAGGATCCTGACGTCAGCTGACGGCTCCTGATGATTTTGCTGATACCAAGCACTGCTGGGCCACGAAGACCCGTCCAGGTCTATTTTATCCACTACAATCCAGCTGCCGCAGACCAGATGTAAACTAAAAATCCAGATCCAGGATTCGAGCCAACCGTTCACACAAATCATTTTACCTGCAAGAAAAGGAAATACTTGAATAATCATTAATTCGTTTTCGTAGAAAGAACGTATAGCCGTTACGGTACTAAATTTTAAAAGTTTTATTTTATCAAATACTCAGTAACCTTTTTAATTTCAAATTGGAAAATTCTCAGTAAATCTGAAGAAGTTGGTTCACATCAAGCACTTTTTTAATATACGATGAGTTCAACGAAATTTTGATATGTTTCTTCTCATAACTACTTGAGGTGAAATTTAAAAAAAGTAAACAATAAAGCATATTTTTTGTTTTAAATTATTGTCATAAATGAATTTAATTGCCTGCAATGAAGCTTATGCTTAGTGTGAAGGCACTAAGTAAGCACTGGCTGGGACCATTTCAACAATTAACTCGGCCGTAGAACTAATTAAATATTTCTCTTTAATCAGCACAGAAACTCTAAAATCCCGCCGCCGGTTTCAGTGTTTTTGCACGTAATTTGGAGCTTTAGGGGGACTTGCTGAAACTCGAGAGGCGTAATTAAAACTTGTGTCCCTATCGTTTTAGTGGCAACGCTGGCCTCGCTCACTCGCTCAGGGATGAGACCAGCGCTCACAGTGCAACAGATTGCCAGCGGTTACGAGATTTCTTTTTCCCTAATACTTTCCCTGCAGAGGTGGAGGGCGCCTGTATTCGGCACATGATGAGCGAACCTGGAAATGAGATGACGGTTCAAGAGAGACGACGGCAGAAGGAAATGAAGGTCTTAGAAATGAGGAATTTCAAATAAACGAGGCAACATCGTGCTCCTCTGCAGAGCCCAAATGATACGCGTCTTAATGAAATGTAAAGAGATTTGGCAGCACGAAAACGAGATGCTCACTCCGCGGAAACATGAGGCAAGATGACACGATTTGATGATAGACAAGTACGAATTCTTTGCTGATTGCTTCTCTAAAAATGATCTCAAGCTTCCAAATTTTTATAAGTCTTACCTACCGCGTTATTATGGTGATGTACAGTGGGGGGAAATAAATATTCGTACACTTGAAAAATCGTATTTTAATGTATGTAAGTGCACAAACTTAACAGGAAAAGTGATTTAAATTATGTATAGAGACGCATAGTATTCAAAAATACTATCAAAAGAAATTAAATCTCAATGCAACAAAAATTAAATCACTTTTCCTGTTAAGTTTGTGTACTTACATACATTAAAATACGATTTTTCAAGTGTACGAATATTTATTTCCCCCCACTGTATTTCAAAATTTAACGCTTCTGGATGCATTGTTTCTACAAATTTCAGATTTCGTTGCTTCTGAGTGCAGGCACATTTTAATTTATCGAATATTACGATTGAATAATCCAAAAACTGTAATTGCATACACTCCTTCATGGCATTTTGATGCGATAGAGAAAGAGACGGGAAATTTTTTATTGTGGTGGGTAAATGAAAAAAAATTTACGTAAGAAAAGCCTGACAATCAATTTAAGATTAATACTGAATTATAAAATTAGTTCGTTTTTAAATTAAAGCAAGTAGCACTGTAGACTCAGAAGTCCGACGTCTATCTGGTCCGGAACGATCGTGTTTGTCTGCCGACCTTCGAGAGGAATTTAGTTTTTATGGAAAAATAACTGAATTTGTATATTATAGATTTATATAGTTTCAATATTATTATTTCCATAAATAATTATTTGAATTTAGATCGGGATTAATGCTTGCTATTAGATCGGGATTAATGCTTTATTCAAACCAAATAAATCCTCAATACCTTTTAAAGCGACGTAATGGCATGGTTTATACATTGAAATTGATATGCATATGATCAAAACGCATTTGGAACAATTTTCCGATAAAGGTTTCGTAGGCGCATTGAATAGCAGTAATTGTATCAGTAAGTACTATTAAAAAAGTATTAGACAAAAAGGTTTTGTAGGCGCTTTGAGTAGCAGTAATTTTAACACAAAGTACTTTAAGAAAAGTATTGGACAAAACGACATTGAAGACCACATCAGAGGCAAAGCTCTCAGCGTTTCCAGTTCGGTGAAAAAACACGCTGAGATTTGAGGGAAGCTGCTCAAGTTTGGCATAATTCCATCAAGACATTCAGGAGCCTCACGCGGAGTTGCTTAGAGCCCCAACTTCTCAGCTCATTCCTGGCGACACTTGGGAATGACTTAAGAGCTTCCGAAATCACCGGGTAACTTCTGGTAGAAATTTGAATTCGATAACAATTTCTCGCGTAACCAGCTTTGTCGACGCCTTTGAAGCCTGCGCTTGAAATGAGTTTGTATTTGCTGAGAATAAAAACACTTGGGATTAATTTAAATTTGGCTACTGCCCCAGAAAATATCCATTCAATGGGTACTACTCGAGGTGCTGCTACATATTACTTCGCTAGGCAGGGCAGTTCTTACTTAATTTGCACCGCGTCCAATAATCAATTAGCGGCCCCGACACGCCCCCTAACTTGTCTACAGGAAAACTCAGGCAAGACGAGATCTTCATTAGCTCGTAGAGTTTGTCCGCGATGCCTGAAACGTTCATCTTCACGGCCAGAAGTTGGCTTGTCTCGAAGTTTTTTAATTGAAGGCGTCGTTATCTGTTCCAAACGCCACATTCGGTACCAGATTCTCAACGAGTTCTGATTGAAGAGAATGAAAGAGGAATTGACAGTTGGGGACATTAATTTCAAAAACTTGACAGAAACTACACGACTTATATTTTCTCTATTTTTTGCCCGGTAAAGAACGTTCTGCTCGGATATACGTTCCATGTTGATTCAACGCTCCTCTCAGCGCAAGCAATTTGAGGTCCAATTAAACCATGATCAGGACCTCAGTGGTAGTGTTACACTGAGCTCCACATAGCTCTGTGCATGTCTGATACGCTGAGTATCAGACACTGTGCATGTCTGATACTCTGAGCTCTGCGCAGTACTGTGCATGTCTGACACACTGAGCTCTGCACAGGACTGTGCATGTCTGATACACTGAGCCCTGCACAGGACTGTGCACGTCTGATACACTGAGTATCAGACACTGTGCACGTCTGATACACTGAGTATCAGACACTGTGCATGTCTGACACACTGAGCTCTGCACAGGACTGTGCATGTCTGATACACTGAGCTCTGCACAGGACTGTGCATTTCTGATACTCTGAGCTCTGTACAGGACTGTGCACGTCTGATACACTGAGCTCTGCACAGGACTGTACACGTCTGATAAGACTGTTCTAAGCCATGCCAGAAACCCTAGTGTCGTTACCGAGCATCGATCGGCCGTGAGTAGCACAAAACTTGCTGCCCTAACCATTCGAACTGCAGTTTAGGACCCATCAACCAGGCAAATGATGTTAAAACAACGTTAAAATATCGTTGATTCAGCCAAACAACGCTTAATTTAACGTCAGGTGTCTGGTGGTATGCAGAAAATTCGCAACGACTTTACCTACAGATAAATCTGAAGACATAAACACTGTAAAATAATTTATGCATGGGAAACCTAGTAAATGTTACCGTGTGTTATTATTATAATATAATACAGACTACGACTGTATTATATAATAATATCATTATTATGTGTGTTCAAAATTAACGATGACATAATTGAGGGCTTAGACGAACTGCAGTGGCAAATATTGCAAATGAAAAGCACATAGGTAACAAAGTTATCGCAAATACTGCAAAAATTCGTTGAAGCCTTGATTTTTTGGTGGTATAAATTTCTTTAGAGTTTAATTGAATTCACGTAGTTTTCGTGTTTTTAAAGGTCATGGAAAAACAGGAGCTCGGTGATAGTGAGCTTATGGCACTGGGTTATGGCTTTATGGCCATTGCACTCATCGTAAAGGCTTGTATATCTCAAGGCTTAGGGCAGCTACGGAAATCCGAAATTAGAGTTTTCATGTCTCTATTGCAGTCTGAAGAATCTTATTGTAAGGAACTTCACTGCGCCGTGAAACGAAATAATCTGAAGCAAATTATGTAGAAGATGGTCGAATTGAATTTACAGTGTAGTTCAGATAACCAGGATCTTTCTTAATTTAGAAATAATTTCATATCAGGTATAGCAAGAATATCGGTATGACTTTGTTCAATCACTCATATTGTTTGAGATAAAACATCCCAATTCATTGAAAATAGGCACAATATTTCATCAAGATTAAACATCCAATAGATCTAATTTTCTATAAAAATTATATTAGATTTAATGGATAGTAAATGGTTAGAAATCAATGCAGCCTTGACATTACGCGTGTGTCCCGAGTGCTTTCAGGAATTCATCAAGCAAGCTTCGCGCAAACTCTCAAAACTCTACGGGACGTTCAATGCAGTCTTGGAAGTCAGTCAATCGGGCCGAGCAGACAACGGTTTCAAGTTGGACTGCAGGTTAGTGTCAAACTTGCCTCATCCAAACGTCGAGAGAAATTTGA